AGAGACAAGAGATAGCAAGTGTTGGTGACACTATGTTGAAAAGGGTCCCTTGTACACTCTTGTGGGGAATGTACATTGGTGCAGCCGCTAGGGAAAACAGCATGGAGTTCCTCAAAAAATTAAAAATAGAACTGCTGTCTGATCCATCAATCCCACTTTTGGTTATATATCTAAAGAAAACGAAATCAGTATGTCAGCGGTATCTGTACTCTGATTTGTGTCGCAGCATTAGTCATAATAGCCAAGTACAGAATCAACCTTAGTGTCTGTTGATGGATGAATGGATAAAGAAAATATGATCTTCGTATTTACAATGGAATATTTTCAACCATTAAAAGAAGGAAATCCTCCCACTTGCATCAACATGGATGAACTTAAAGGACATTATACTAAGTGACATAAGCCAGACACAGAAAGATAAATATTGTATGATGTCATCTATATGTTGTATAATCTAAAAATGAATTCACGGAAGCAGAGAGTAGAATGGTGGTTGCCAGGGGCTGGGGACTAGGGGAGATGGGGAGATGTACAGCATGGTGACTAGTAATAATAATGTATTATATACTTGAAATTTGCTAGAGTATAGATCTTAAGTGTTCTTACTACACACACACACACAGATAAAATTATGTGACATGATGGATGTTTTAATTAGCCTGATTGTGGTAATCATTTCACAGTATATACACGTATATCAAATTACCACATTGAACACCTTAAATGTAAGTGGTTTCTGTCTATCAGTTGTACCTCAGAATAGCCAGTGGGGGGAAGATAATGAGGCATGGTAAGAGTGCATATTGTTTCCTCCCTGTTGATCCTAGGACACAAAACATTCAAGTTCTGTTCTATTACTGGGAATTGTTTGCCATTGATGAGTATGGACTTTTATCAAATGCTTTTTCTGTATCTGTTGAGACTATCAGTTGTGTTTTGGCTTTTAGTCTGGTAATACAGTGAATTGCATGGATTGATTTTCACATTAAGCTGACTTTGAATTACTAGGATAAATCCCAGTTGGTAATGATGGATTGTCCTTTTTATATATAGTGGGTTTAATTTGCTAATATTTTATTATTGAGGAATTTTTTTGGCATATGATCATGAGACATTATATTGATCTGTAGTTTTCTTATAAAAGACATACTTACTCTGACTTTTGTACCAGGATATTGATGGCCTGCCTTATAAAATATGTTCCTGCTTCTTTCATTTGTCAGGAGAGGGTATGCAGAATTAGCATTATTTCTTTTTTACATGTTCTGTGAAATTCACCACTGGAGTCACCTAGGATTACAGTTGTCTTTGTTTTTAAATATGAAATCATTTTCTTTAATATTGAGCCACTGAGATTGTTTCCTTCAGTGAGCTTCGGTGGTTTGTGTCTTTTAAGAAATTTGTTTCACTTAATTTGTTGAATTTATTTGTGTAAAGTTGATAATATTCTCATTACCCGTACTTCATGTGCTTGTAGGATCTGTAATGATGCTCCCCTTTTATTGCTGATTTTGGTAGGTCTTCTCTCTTATTTCTAATTGGTCTTGCCAGAGATTTGCAATTTTTTAAACATTTTTTTAAAGAACCAGTTTTCCGTCTTACTGATTTTTCTTTATTTTTAAAATTTGGATATATTCCTGTTATCTTTCTATATTTGATTCTCGTTTAATTTCTTCATAGTGGGAAAACAAATTTTATATGATTTTAATTACTTAAATTTGTTAGTGTTTGTTTTTGACCCATGACATGGCTTATCTCTGTAAATATTCTGTGTGCCCTTGAAAAGAATGAATATTTTTTTGTTGGGTAGATTTTTATACAAATGTCAGTTAGATCCATTTGATTTGAATTGATGGCATTTTTAGTTCTTTTATATCCTTGTTGATTTCCTGTCTTAACTGAGAGAAGTTGGGGGCGCCTGGGTGGTTCAGTCGGTTAAGCGTCTGACTTCGGCTCAGGTCATGATCTCACAGTTTGTGGGTGAGCCTCACATTGGGCTCTGTGCTGAGAGCTAGCTTAGAGCCTGGAGCCTCCTTCAGATTCTGTATCTCTCTCTCTGACCCTCCCCTGCTCACACTGTGTGTGTGTCTCTCTCTCTCAGAAATAAATAAAACATTTAAAAAAAATTTTTAACTAGAGTAGTTGAAGCCTACAACTATAATTATGAATTTGCCTGTTTCTCCTGTCAGTTTTATCAGTTTTTGCTTCCTGTAGTTTGAAGCTCTGTTGCTAGTTGCATACACATTTAGTGAGCTGATCCTTTTATCAGTGTGTAATAAGTAAAGTTCTTCCTGGAGAACTGTTTTGTCTCATATTGATTTAGTTACTCCAACTTTCCTTTGATTAGTGTTTCCATGGCATATCGTTTTTCATTCTTTTACTTTTTACTACCTATATAATTACATATGAATGAATTTCTTGTTAGTAGCTCTCATAGTATGGCCATTTTCCTCTGTTTTGATAGTCTGGTTTTTTTCTTCTCCTGTTTTCTTATTTATTTATTTCCAGCATAGTTAATGTATGCAGTGTTATAGTAGTTTCAGGTATACAATCTGACAGTTTTTTAAAATTGGTGTGTTTAGTCCATTTGCATTTCATATCATTGGTATGTTTGGATTAGGTCTATCATGGTTTCTTCTGTTTTTCATTCTTCAGTTTTTCTTTTACTGCCTTCTGTTGGGTTATTTTTACATTTTTTAAATATTCCATTTTAATTTACCTAATGTGATTTTGATTATCCTAAGTATAATTGTGTTTGTTGCTCTAGCAATTACATATTATATCGAGGTTACAGAACCTAACTATGTATTAAATGCTTAATATTAATTGATTGAAGTAATATTTTTAGAATCTAATTTTGGTTTTTATTCTGAAGTTTTCCAAATAAGGTTATTGAAAGATAAGCTTTTTCTAACATACAATCTGTTAATATATTTTATTGTTATATATAGTTTTTAAAAATATTTATTTATTTTGAAGAGAGAGAGAAAACGGGGGACTGACTGGCAGAGAGGGAAAGAGACAATCCCAAGCAGGCTCCATTTTGTCAATGCAGAGCCCACACAGGGCTTGATCCCATGAACCATGAGATCATGACCTAAGCTAAAATCAAGAGTCAGATGCTTAACCAATTGAGCCACTCAGGTGTCCCTCTAACTATAATTTTCTTTAAAAAATATTCATGGCACTCCTTTATTCATCAATAAGTTGCTTTGCTTGATCTACAAAGTGCTTTATCTTTATAAATCTCACCTAGATTAATGCCTGGTGATATTATACAGATCCATTTTGCTTTGAGTCAGAATTTTTCTGTTTATATATGACTCATAATTCTAACTCTGTAAGCTTTACAGAGGTCTAGTTTTGAGGACAGTGCTATGTTTAAGTGATTCTGTTTATATGGTATTAGTTGAAACAGTTGAATGATCCCAAAATAAACTTTGCCTTATGTGTGTAGTATCAAGAGAGTTTCCTTATTCAAGTTTATTTCTTCCTCTGTAAAAGATTTAAACTATTTGAATTCTGACAGTTTTTTTTCTGTTGGAATGTATTCTGATTTGTCTGAGTTTGGATTAATTTAATCTAGTTTTGTTAATTTACAAGCTAACTCAGTTCATTTAAGGGATTTTGGAGTTTGTTTTCTATTGAAATCAAATATTTTAAATCACCAGTAGAACAGTTTGAAGAACACAGAAGGTCTTAATCCTCTTTGCGGGGTGTCTAGACTTTAATAATAAACATAGATGCTAGAAGGTAGCTTTACTTAGACCTATAATATTCATCTATAGGAAACTTATAGAATGAAAATTAAAAATTAGGCTTGTCCGTTCTGCTTATTGTGGTGGTCCAAGTCATGCTTCTGTTGGCAGCAACCTCAATTTAGCCCAGTACTACACAGTAGAGCTCTCTGTGATAATAGGAGTGTATATCTGTATTCTACAGTAGTTACTTTAATTTTGGTTAATTTAACTTTCAGCAGGCACAGGTAGCTAGTAGGTCATCAAACAACAATGCTGGTCTAGTCTCATGGCCTCCCTTTTTATATGTAAAACTCACTTAGAAATTTTTTTGTTTGTTTTGTTTTGCATCTCAAGTATAAGTTTGTAGGCATAGGCTTCTATCAGGGTCCTTGACCTATTGTAGAGCAGGAGACAGAAAACTGAATAAATTAAAAAGAAGATAAATGACATAATTGCAGTATGGTAGGACTTCAGTCAATATTTATTGATAAAGTGACTGTCTAGAGATATCTGGGAGTTCCGTGAAGGAAAATAAACACTCCAAAGAATTTTAAGCTGGAACGGACTCATAAACTTAAGTCAATCTAAAATAGTAAAGTTGTAAAATTGCCAATCAGACCTATCTGATTCTTGGTTGGGTTTTCAGAAGTAAATTCCCCAGAGAAATGCAGAACTACCAGAGAATCTATCAGAACCTTCTACCTTTAGAGACAGGCTGAAATGACAAACCCTTTGCCACTGCTTTCACCTCTGCTGCTTGTGGTTACCTGGAAAACGGGAGATTAGATTTTAGGCTAGAGAAGGCAGAAAGAAATATAAAAGTGGTTCTGTTTTCTTCTTTTCAGTGACAGATTGAATGGATTTAATAGAACTTTAGGCGCCTGGGTGGCTCAGTCAGTTAAGCGTCTGACTTCAACTCAGGTCATGACCTCATGGTTCGTGGGTTCAAGCCCTGCATCGGGCTCTGTGCTGACAGCTAGCTCAGAGCCTGGAGCCTGTTTCGGATTCTGTGTCTCCCTCTCTCACCCTCCCCTGCTCATGCTTGCTCGCTCTCTCTCTCTCTCTCTCTCTTTCTCAAAAGTAAATAAAACATTTTAAAAGATTTTTTTTAAAAAAAGGAGCTCAAATTCTTAAATGAAACCTTACTTAAGCTAGAACTTATAAATACAGAGAACAAAGTGCATTAACTGTGGTGTTTACCTTTAAGTAGGTTTTATTGCAGATGTATACAAATAACCCTCATATATTCATTCTTTACAGATCCAGGATGAGAAGACTGATAAAAGAAGAAGCTAGCTGAACAGCTATAAGATGCCCAAAACTGGGTTCACAAAACCAGTTCAGAGTGAAAATTCTGACAGTGACAGCAATATGGTAGAAAAGCCATATGGAAGAAAGGTATATGATTACATCTATTGACTCTTTTAGAACTGGGATAAACTCCCCATTTAGTATTTTTAGTAATTGTCCATAAAATAAAAAAGCAGTTGGATGCCAGATAAATCCAAACCATTTATCTAATTCCTTTAAAAATAAATTGGAGGGGCACCTGGGTGGCTTAGTCGGTTAAGCGTCCGACTTTCGCTTAGGTCATGATCTCGCCGTTCGTGGGTTTGAGCCCCGCGTCAGGCTCTGTGCTGACTGCCAGCTCAGAGCCTGGAGCCTGTTTCAGTCTGTGACTCCCTCTCTCTCTGACCCTCCCCTGCTCACACTGTCTCTCTCTCCTAGAAATAAATAAAAATATTAAAAAAAAAAAATTAAAAATAAATTGGATTCCTGGGATAAGATTGTTTTTCATTCCCTGAGGTAACACGTTTACTAAAACGGCATATTTACCTATGAAATAATCATTGAGAGGGGGTGAAAAAGAACCCAGGACATGACAATCATTTGGCATTTCTTTCTCCACCTCCTGATCCTCAGTAGCAAAACACAAACACAATAGCAGTTCCATTTTCCTTGTCTTTAACCTTGGATAAATTTATGTAACTTTTGCAGCCTCAGTATATCTCTCTGTATTGGAGGACAAGACTATTTTATAGGATTTTTGTGACAGTGAAATGGCATCAGTATGGTGCCTAATGCAATGCTTGTTATATAATATGTACTCAGTAAATGTTAACAGTTTTTGTTGTTTATTATTAGTGATTGGCAACAACCTATGATTGTCTTTTAACATCTATCCTTCTTCATTCCTATTTAATTTAGGCTCTCAAAACCTTCATTTAGACTTCTGCAGTCGTCTCCTAACTGGTCTCACTATTCTTAGTCTCTTTTTTTTATCTAGTTAATTTTAAACATTATCTCTTTTTTTTTTTTAATTTTATTTATTAATTTTGAGAGAGGGAGTACGTACACATGCATGAATAGGGGAGGAGCAGAGAGAGAATCCCAAGCAGCCTGTGCACTGTCATTGCAGAGCCTGATGTGGGGCTTAATCTGACAAACTGTGAGATCATGACCTGAGCTGAAATCAGGAGTCGGACACTTAACTGACTGAGCTACCCAGGAGCCCCGTTATACATTATCTTTGAATTTTTTTTTTCCTTTTTATGTCTTTTCTCCCCCTTAGTCTTTTGTTGTTGTTGTTGAAGAACATTTGAAATGGTTCTAGTTTTTGGCAAATATGAATAGAGTTGTGATGAACATTTGTGTACAAATATTTTTTAATAGCTTTATTGAGGTATAATTTATATACCCTAAAATTCACATACTTCATGTATGATCCAGTGATTTTTAGTAAATTTATAGAGTTGTGTACCCATCATCACAATCCAGTTTACACCATTTCTGTCATTGCTATAAGAGCCTCAGGCCCATTGCACTCAGTCCCTGTTCCCACACCAGCCCTCAGGCAACCCCAAATCTGCTTTGAAAAATCAGGAATTTTAAGTTTTCAGACTTTATTCTTTTCAAAGGCCATTTTGACTATTTAGGGTGCTTTGTATTTCCATATAAATTTTATGATTAGCTTGTAAGTTTCTTCAAAAAAGCCTGCTGGGATTTTTATAGGGCTTTTATTGAATGGATCCACTTGGATAGTATTGATATCCTAACAGTATGTCTTCCAGTTTATCACCACAGAATCTCTCTCTATTTAGATCTTCAGTTTCCCTCCACAGTACTTTGTAGATTGTAGTGTACAAATTTTGCACTTCTTTCCTAAATTATTAATGTTTTACTCTTTCGGATGCTATTGTAGTTAATTTCATTTTGGATTTTTCATTGCTAGTATGTAGAAATACAAATGATTTCTATTCCATGATCTTACTGAACTCAGTTTTTGGTTCTAGAAGTTTGTGGATTTCTTAAGATCTTCTATATATGAGATCATGTCATCTCCATATAGAGATAATTTTACTTCTTTTCCAGTGTGGGTACTTTTTTTTATTGCCTTATTGCCCTAGCAATCTCTGCCATTTGATGAAAGTGATTACTCAGTTTATATTTAATGTAATTATTTATAGGGTTAGACTTATATCTGCCATTTTACTCTGTGTTCTGGTTTTTTTTCCTCCCTTCTCTGCTGCCTTTTTAAACTTTAAATATTAAAAACCTTTTTAAATATTTATTTTTGAGAGAGAAGAAGACAGAACTTGAGTAGGGGAGAGGCAGAGAGTGAGAGAGGGAGACACAGAACCCAAAGCAGGCTTTAGGCTCCAAGCTGTTAGCACAAAGCCCGACATGGGGCTCATATCCACCAATGAGATCACAGTCTCAGCCGAAGTTGGACATTTAACCAACTGAGCCTCCCAGGCATCCCTAATTTTAAATATTTTTTAAAGTACTATTTAAATTTATGATTTTTAAAACTATGTTTCTTAAATTGTATTCTTAAGATGTTGATCTATGGCTTATAACATGCAGCCAATTATTACAAATTAATAATGACTTAATTAAGTAAAATATAGCAACTTTGTTCCTGTATAGCTCCAGTTCCTCCCTTTTTTGTGTATCTATTTATCTATCCATAGATTCATCAATATTTGTTCTTAATCCAAAATAGACTATTATCATTTCATACAATTTTATCTTTGAAATAAAATAAGAGAAGGAGAAATACATATTCATGCAATTCTTTTTACCTATACAATTATCAGTTTTGTCACTCTTAATGTCTTCTTTTTATAGACTCAACTTACTGTCTGGTTGTCATGTCCTTACTAAGAATTTTAGCATTTACTGTAAGATCTTCAGCTGTGATTTTTCTGTGTCTTCGTTGGTCTAGGAATATCTTGATTTTGCCATATTTTAAAAAAAATATTGTACGGGGCGCCTGGGTGGCTTAGTCAGTTAAGCGCCCGACTTTCGCTTAGGTCATGATCTCGCGGTTCGCGGGTTCGAGCCCCGCATCGGGCTCTGTGCTGACTGCCAGCTCAGAGCCTGGAGCCTGTTTCAGTCTGTGACTCCCTCTCTCTCTGACCCTCCCCTGCTCACGCTGTCTCTCTCTCTCTCCTAAGAAATAAATAAAAAACATTATAAAAAAAAAACAAACAATATTGTTGAAGTATAATTAACGTTTCATTTAAAGTGTACAATTCAGTAGTTTTTAGTATATTTACAGAGTTGTGCACTCATCTCCACTATTGATTTTAGAACATTTTCACTCAAAAAAAGAAACATTATGAACTCATCAATAGTCATTTCTCATTCTTTCCCCAACCCCCACAGCCCTAGGCAGCCACCAGTCCTTTCTGTCTCTATAGAATTGCCTATGCTGGATGTTTCATACAAATAGAATTATATAATATGTGGTTTTTGATGACTGTTTGTCTTTATTTTCAAATGGCAGTATTGTTGGATATAGAATTCTTAGTTGAGTTTTTTCTTTTAGTAGATTGTCACTCTACTACTTTCTTGTTTTAACTGTTCCTGATGAGTCACCTATTGTTTTGTACCCTTGTCACAATGAATTTTTTTCACTGCTTCTCTTTGTTTGTCATGTGCTTAGGGTTCCCTTGTATTTATCCTTTTTGGGGTTTGTTGAGTTTCTTAGATCTGTAGATTTAAGGTTTTCATGAAATTTGGAATATTTAATCTAATTTTATATATTTGTGTGTATATATTTTTTTGCCATCTCACATCTACTATTGAACATATCTAATACATTTGTAGTTACTTTGCCTTTCTTTTTTTTTTAATGTTTTATTTTTGAGAGAGAGCATACATGGATGCATGAGCAGGGGAGGGGTGGCAGAGACAGAGGACAAGACACAGAATCTGAAACAGGCTCCAGGCTCCGAGCTGTCAGCACAGAGGCCAAAGCAGGGCTCAAACTCCAAAGCCAGAGATCATGACCTGAGCTGAAGTCAGACACTTAACCGACTGAGCCAACCAGGCACCCTGTTACTTTTCTTCTCAAATGTATTATTTCCATTTGGCTCTTTCTGTGATTTTTTCCTTACTGGAATTTTTTAAACACTGTTTTCTTTCTTTCTTTATAATAACTGTCAAATGTAGTATCTAGGCTTATTCAGGGAAATTTCTGTTGAATACTTTTTTCTTTGCTTTTTTGTATGTCTTAATTTTTATTGGAAACTGGACAATTTAAATCGTATACTGTAGCAGTAGTACAGTTCTGGGTACTCATTATTTCCCACCTGAACCTTGTAATTGTTGCTGAGTTGTGTGTGTGTGTTTGTTTTGAGTAAAATGTTAGGAGTTTCTCTGTGGTATTTATCACAACCACTGGTATCCACTTTTTTTTCTTTTTATAGTTTAGTCTTGCTTCCACAGAGGCACCATTGCATCTGTATAGATTAGTCAGCAGCCATTGGTCAGAGGTTGTATTCAAACACCATGCCAGTCTGATTTCCAGCTTCTACAGACAGACTTGCCGGTGTGTTGGGGAGTGCATTCAATGTTAGGGTATTTTTGAAATCTGTCCTGGCATTTTCTTTCTGTTTGACTCACCTGGGTCTTCCCTGTGTTTGTGTGCAGTCAACTAAGGATATGTAGAAAGGTTAGACCCTCTCAGATTTCCTCTGCGTGTACACACCATCTCCCAGTCAGTGAGGATAAATGGAGAGCTTAGCCCTTCTCCCATCTTTCCCATGGACATGGCTTCTCCTCTCGCCTTGGATGTGTGGCAGTCTTAGCTGGCACCCCCTATGGCTCTCTCATTTCTGCAGTCTCCCTGTTAAATGTTTGGCTTATTCACCAGCTGCTGCTCTTCTGCAGCAGGATCACAACCTTAGGCTAATAAGATGTATGTTTTTTGCCTCCTCCAATCGTTTCCTACCCTTTTTGCTATTTTTAGAAACAATGCAGCTGCATGTAGGCTTTTTACCTTCTTTGCCAATTCAAGTGGACACACTCTGGCAGCAAAGATGCTGTTTTTCTTGCCAGCCCCACCCCGGTAGCACTTCATGCAAACTAAGCATCAGCCAGGGAATGAGAGCATTCCCCCGGCAAGAATGCCAAAGACACTCAGTGTTCTTATCCATAGTTCAGCAGTTTTTCGTGAGGAAAAAAAAAATGCTTCTCAATTTGTTGTTTGCTATTTTTCAGTTTTTGGAACCTTGTTGCTTTTGACAATTTTGTCTAGATTTATAGTTGTTTCTTGGGGAAGTAAGTTGGTAATACCTTTATTCCACCATAGACAACTTTCCCCAAATGATATTTTAATTTGCCCAATGTGACAAATCATAAGCAGAGTGAATTTATGATTCATTTTATTTAACAAATCTTATATTGGATTCCTCTTGTGTTATGTATTCTTTTATGACACTTGGAATAAAACCGTGAATGGTTAAGACATTTAAGTCTTCATGAAGACTCTTAACTAATTACTCTTCCTGTTTGTCTGAAATGTTTTGCTCTCAGGACCCCTTCAGCATAATTAAAGATCCCAAAGAGCTTTTTCATATGTAGGTATATCTGTTGATACTTACATTATCAGAAATTAAAACTGAGAAAACATTTAAAATGTTTATTAACTGGTTTAAAAAATACATATGTGTGTATGTTTGCACACATAAGATATCTTTATGGAAAACAACTATATGTTCCAGGACAAAAAAATATTAGTGAGAAGAGTGTTACTGGTTTTGCACATATCTTTAATGTGTGATTTAACAGAAGATCACCAAATTCTCATGTGCATCTACATGCAGTGTGTTTGGATGTCACTTGGCATATAGTCTCTAGAAAACTCCAGTGCATATTCTTGAGAGAATGAGAAACGTACAGTAGCACCTTAGTGTTACTGTGAGTATATTTTTAGCCTTGCAGATCTTATGATGGTCTCAGATACCATAATTTAAGAATTTCTCTACCATTGTAGGAAGCACACTAATGAGAGTACTGAGTGTATAATGATAGGACAAAAAGGAGAGAAACAATCAATTCTAGCTAGAGGGTTCAGGCATGGTGTCACAGTAGAAAAGATACTTAATCTGGATTCTCAAGGCTGAATAAGTAGTTGGCCAGCAGGAAAGTGGAAACAGAGGACGTTCCAAGATGTAAAAAAGACATAAATCTGTTATGGTAATACATACAAAGTTAGGATATGGCCTGTGGAGGATAGAGAGTAGGAGATAAGCATTAGACAGCAGCCAGTTCATTATGGCCTTATATGTGTTGCTAAGGAACTTGCAATTTATCCTGTTGCCATTGAGCCAAAACGGAAGGGTCAGGGCTAGAGTGTTATTTTAAAAATCCAAGCAAAAGGCAGTGTGGGCAGCAGCTATGGGGATGAAAAAGAGTTGGCAGATGTAAAAGATGTTGAATGAATTAAACTTGTGTATGTAGAAAAAGTAATGTGGATCCACCCTGAGGTTGATTGAACTATTCCTTGAGAAGGAATTCAGGAAATAGAAGAATTGTTGTTTTGAGAAGAATGCTTACTGATACAGGTGCAAGGGGAGAGGGACATCTTCATGTTTTTCTTAGATTCTTTTATTAATCATAAAGACTTCTAAGGCAAGACTCTAGAATTTTATTGGTTAACCTTTGTATTAATTACGCCTTTTTATTTCTGATGCTTCGATATTGTGGCCTGCTGACACTGGGGAGACTGCCATTCCCAGAGCTGGCCAATTCCCAGAGATCTTAACTCGCTGTGACCATACATTTCATATACAAACCAATCCAGAGTCCAAACCCAACCCCAACTGCATCCAACTCTCACATTCTGGGCCACTGTCCCCTGCCCTAATCACACTAGAGCCATGTACCAGACAATAAGAGAAACAGTGCCACACCCTGAAACTACTGACAGTGTTTAAAATAGCCAGGCCTTGCCTTTTCTTTCCTGAGGAAACCACAATAAAAGCTTTTGCCCACATTTCCCTTCTCTACCTCTGCCTCCTGACCCACTTTGGTGCTACTCTTTGTGGCCCTATGCAGTGTAGCATGCCCCTGCTTGGGAACTATTAATAATAACAAACTGCCTTTTTAGTGGCAGTAGTCAGCTGATCTGTTGACTTCACCAGACCTGAATAATAATAAAACCTATGTTTTAAAATAACTTTATAAACGAAATACATGCCTGTGAAGCTTGAATTCATTGGCAGAAGTGGAAAAACCACTTAAGAGAATTTATAACTGAGAAGTAAATAATATGAGCTTTTATTCTTCAGAAATCTTTATCAGTTAATATATAAGGAAGTCACATTCTTCTCCTGATTTGTTAATAGATTTATCAAAAATAAATGTAGACTCTATTGAGATGTTAACTTTTGTCACCTGTTAAGATTATCATATGGTTTTTCTTTAATTTTTTGATACGGTGAGTGGTCTTAAGAGATTTTCTAATAATAAACTATCCTTGTATTCTTTGGGTGAGCCCTGCTTGATTCTTAAGTTTTAAGACACTAAATTTGATTTGACAGTTTATTTAAGGTAATTTTGCATTTATTTCATAAGCAATTTAGTTTATAATTTCTATCTTGTACTCTTCTTTTGGTATGTTTTATTTTAGACTTAAACATGGATTGGTAGCTTCTAATCATATCGTTTTATGCTGTAGTAATTTTTACATGAAATGGGAAATATCTGTTTCTTGAATTTTTTTAAATCTCTTATAAAATCTTCTGGGCTAGTTACCTTTTTTAAACTTAAAATCTTTGGCTGTGGATTTATTGTCTTCTGTGATCATTGATTGGTCTATTCAGATTTTCTTTTTCTTTCCTGAGCCAGCTTTTAGTAATGCATGATTTCAAAGAAAATAATCTTAAAATTTTAGTGATATAAAAATGAATACAGTATCTTCTTGTAACTTTTTTTGGTAACTTTTCCATAAACCCTCCGGAATTGTATGTAAGTCTCAATTCCAATCTTTATTATTTCTCTTTTTCATTTTCATGGTTAGATTCACTAGAGCAATACTAGAGTATTGCTCATTTAAAATCACCTTTTGATTTTATTGATACATTCCACTCTAAAAAAAATTCACTGTTTTATTTTTTGTGCCTCTTCTTTCCCCTCTTCCTTCCTATATTTTCTTTTTTGGGTTGAAGCTGCTTTCTTCTTCAATCTGAGTCTACTTCTGATTTGCTTCTGAGAATCTCTATAACTATTATATCTGTCATTTATTATAGATAGTTTGGGGACTATTGTTTTAAGGTGATGTGGCTTATTCTTAGTGTCTACCATGTTTTTCTCAAAGGAGTTCTTATAGTCCAGTTTAGATGTGTAGTACCAATTCAGATATTAAGATTATAATAAGTGTGAACTTGATAATGGCTGTAGACCATGAAGGTAGGATATTCACCCGAATGAGTGGGTACATGATATTAACAAAGCATATTATGTTTTATTCTATCCAGAATCACTTTTTCAGATTTATATATTTGTTCATTGATGGTAACGTGTATATTATGCTTACAGAGTTTTATTATATTCAAGATAGTTTGTCTTACTGGTATTTTAAAGTTATATTAAGTAAAAGTAGGAGAATATGAGACAATTTAGGAAAAAAGTTACAGTTGTTGAAACTGGGTCTCGAATACATTAAAGATAGTGGTTTGTAGTATTTCTGCTTTTGAATATATTTGAACATTTTCTTCATAATTTTTAATTACTGTCTTGCTAAGCCAATATTGTTATAACTATTCATATTTAATTTTTAATAGAGTAAAGACAAGATTGCATCATATAGTAAAACTCCAAAAATTGACCGAGGTGATGTGGGCAAGGAGATGAAAGAGAAATCGTCCATGAAACGTAAACTTCCTTTTACCATTAGCCCATCAAGAAATGAAGAACGAGATTCAGACACAGGTAGAATAATTTGTTCTCTGATAAAGTCTTAATCATTCTTTTACTATGATTTGCTTCATATCATTCCTCTTGCACTCCATTTTAATAGAGAAATATTGGTATTTTGGTATTTCAGATTTATCATTTTGGGACAGAAATTCATGGTTTCTCACCCAAACATGATTTCTCATCAGATAAAAACAATTTGCTTCTTTCCTTACTCTCAGGTTTATTACAAATCTCTTACCACTTTCAGAACTTAATTTCTTGGATAGCATTTCAGTAATGAAAATTTACTCTGATAGAGGGAGCATAGAATATGTTAGAGTTGAGAAAAAGTTGAGTTTTTGTGGACACAGTAGTGAACCCAACAAACAAAACAGTTTAGGCAGTTTACATTTCAGGAATGAATCAGAAATATGTCCTCCACAACCCTGAAAAAACAAATGATTGAGGTTTACTGCCTAAGCCCATTCATGGTACTTTCTTCTTCAAAACTTACATGTCAGAAATGGTCCTTGACCTCTGTCAATCCTGGTTGTTCATAATAGATCATAACCTTATTACCACAGTCTAATAAACCATTAGATTTTGTTTTAGCTCTGAACTAATCATTTCTTGAAACTAATATGAACTTGAGTATTATGTATTTATCATAATTATTTTATCCCTTGCGTGAAATATTAATAATGAGCTGTTCTTAACAATGTTTCAGCTTCACTCACAGAAAGTTACTGTCCCATTCTGAGTTTATGTACAGAGATTGTATTCTACTTATATCTTTCTGGTCATCTTAATCATCAATTTGGAAATAATCTTGACTGTGGAATCTGAAAATATTTGAAACACCCTGTGCTATCATAGCTTTAGAAAGTACTTAAATTTTATCATACGTTTTTAGTAGGTAGCTCTCCTTTTGTGTATTTATTTTGCTGTCTGTCTTAGCTTGAATTAGAAATTGTTCTTAAACATGACCTTTTTAAGCCTTGAAAATTGGTGAAGAAATTTTGTACTTTGTTAATGTTTTTGAATTTTTTTCAAAAGTGTTTATTTGTTTTGAGAGAGAGCAAGTGCACGAGCAGGGGAAGGGCAGAGAGAAAGGGAGAGAGACAATCCCAAACCAGCCCTGTGCTAGCAGTGGAGCCTCTGCCTCTTACTCTCGTTCTATATAATCAAAATAAATAAACATTTAAAATATTTTTTTATTAAAAATATCAAAAGTAATCAAAGAAGTACAGTATAAAACATTGGACAGAATTGTTGGCCTAACTTGTACCAGGTGGTCACTGACCAGAAATAGGAATAGTTTAGAATAGTTTATAATTTAGTTGGTCTAAATTAATTTTTTTAATGTTTTTATTTATTTCTGAGAGAGAGAGAGACACAACACACAACGTGAACAGGGGAGGGTCAGAGATAGAGGGAGATACAGAATCTGAAGCAGGCTCCAGGCTCTGAGCTAGCTGTCAGCACAGAGCCCGATGCGGGGCTCAAACCCACGAATTGTGAGATTATGACCTGAGCCAAAGTTGTACGCTCAACTGACTGAGCCACCCAGGCGACCCTAGTTGGTCTAAATTATAAGAATATATTGTTGGAGGTAAATATGAAAATATTTTTCAAAACAGAAAGGTTGTTAACATTTGAGTTATTCTTTAATTTGGAATTTAATCTATATAAGTAATTATTGATGACAATTAAAATTATCTTCAAGTGTGTTTATCTCTACTTAGAATAGCAAAAATAACTGCAGAAAAATATGTTAAGTTATAGAGAATTTGTTCAATTATGGTAAATCCAATTAAGAAATACGGTTTTTACTCTTAAAAATAAAAGAATACATGAGATGAAAAGATGCTCATAGCATACAAATTTTAAAAATAGGTTATGAAATAATATGTACTGTTTACTTTATTAAAAGTCACATTCTGTGTATTTATATTTGTATGTATGTGCACACAGGGCATATATTAACACACATATTGAAGGATAAAATTATTGAAGTATAAAAAACTGTATGTAGTAAAACCAACCTAGCCAAACCTAGTTACTGTATTATGGGCCCAGAACAAAAATGTAAATATTTTAACCCTGACTTAGGTTAAATAAAAGACTGGGGGATTGGCAATAAGGACAAAATGTTATTAATGCTACTCAGCTCATCTCTTATAGCAAGGGAATAACTGATATTGTCTATAACTGAAATATATAGTTTTTTTTTTTTAACATCTTTATTCATTATTCAGAGACAGAGAGAGACAGAGCATGAGCATGGGAGGGGCAGAGAGAGGGGAAGACACAAAATCTGAAGGAGGTTCCAGGCTCTGAGCTGCCAGCACAGAGCCCGATGCAGGGCTTGAACCTGCAAACCATGAGATCATGACCTGAGCTGAAGTCAGACGCTTAACCAACTGAGCCACCCAGGTGCCCCATGAAATATATAGTCTTTTAAAATAATTAGTTAAAATTTTTAATCTTCATCTAAAACTCTTTCATATATACGTTTACATATAATGTGTTTAAATTTTAGTATATGATCTCTCCTCCTCCTCTTTTTTTTTTTTTTTTCTTTAAGCTCTGAACCCAATGTGGTGCTTGAACTCATGACCCTGAAATTAAGAGTAGCTATCCAGGAACCCTAGTTCCTGTTCTTTTTATGTTGGATTAAAATAAAATCTTTCACCTTTTTATTTTAAAATAGTACATACATATGATATTTTTGTTTGTATGTAAATTAACAGACACACACCCCAGTTCCTTTCTCTTTATATATATAATTTAGAAAGATGCTTGGAATGATGGCCACTAGATGTGAATACTCTATTTCCAAGATTGGAATGACTTTTTACTTTCTTTGATTTTGTAGGACTTGAATTTTAAAATAACAAGCATAATTATTTCTGTAAGACAGTCTTTTAAAAATTTTTTAAAGTTTATATATTTTGAGTCTTCTGCGCATGCTTATGTTCGTGTGCATGCACATGCGGTCGAGTGGAAGAATGGAGAGAGAATTCCAAGCAGTCTCTGCACTGTCATTGCAGAGCCTGATGTGAGGCTTGAGCTCATGAACCATGAGATCATGACCTGACCCAAAGTCAGAAGCTTAACCAACCCAGGCTCCCCAGTTACTTTTTAAAAAAGATATTCATGCTTCAAGGAAGACTCAGTGATCTTCCAAATCAGCAAGACTGCCATCAGCTGGATGAATCATTCTTAGTCTTCATTTTGAGATACTGTAGTGTGTCTTAAGCTTTTTAACTCTGAATTATTTAATATTTATTAATTTTTTAAAAGATACTTTTAGAAAGTAATTGCTTGACGAGACAAAATTTGGAGGAACATTACAGCATAATTTGAAGTCATGCCAGGGGTTCCTTACCGATGCATCATAATACTATTTATTTCAGAAACTTCAAGTATATCTGCTTATATCATTTCAGTATCTATCCAACATTGTCCTATTCTCTTAGAGAATTCCCATAAATTTTGCCCCATGAAATGTTAGGTGAATACATAGAGTGACAAGAAGACAAATTATTCCAAACCTGTAGTTTGCTTAATCACTTATTTTTAGCTTTTCCTTTCAGTCCCTCTTTGTCTAGAATCCTGGCAGGATAAGTTAGTTGTAGTTACAGTAGAGGTAAATCATTGCATAGTGTTTATTATCAGAAGCTTTGGAGTCAGACAGATTAATGTTGTGTCCCTACTCAGCTCCCTGCTAGTCCTGGCCAAAAAATTTGAGCCCTTTATAACTCCAATTTTCTCATCTATTAAAGTGCATGTAATACTAGCTTCAGAGAATTGTAATCATTCAGTGACATACTGTGTAAAATCAGTTTATGATATGTTAATTAAAACAGAAAACCGACTTAGACTTAAATAGATTGAGATTTTTTTCATCTACTGTAATAAGACCAGGAGGTATCAGTAGTCCAGTGTTGTTATAGTAGCTCAGTAATGCCATCAGGGAAAGGGATGTTTTCATCATTCTGCACTCACTCTTAACTCATACATGGGCTTTGTCCTTAATCATTTTGCTTTATAGTCACAGAGTATCTTCTGCCTCCTCCTGGGAAGAGAGTAAAAGAGGAAGGACCTAGGAGAAAGTATCTTTCTTCCAGTGAGACTTTGCCTTTTTATTGATGAAACAACATCCCTAGAAACTTCTACCTGCATCTCATTGGTTAAGCCTTAGTTACAAGAGAGTCTGGACAGTTAACTACTTTCAACTGGGTATAGTGTCACCCTAATCAAAACTGGAGTCCTTCTGTTAAGAAGGGGAAAATGAATATTGGGTCAGCATCTTTCAGTACTGACACTGTATGTAGTTTTTAGTACAATAATTAATAACTAAAAACTGTTATCTCAATTAGTATTGTTTGTACCCAAGTGAACTTTATTCCTGTACTATCAGTCAAAAAACCATACTTCTTTTCTTTCCTAGTCTAATGGCATCCAAGGAAAGCCACAATCCCTTGACATGAAAATACTAATCAACAGCTGTCTTGAGGGTACTCATGAGAGGTCTCTTCTTGGCCTTCAAACTAAACATGTAATTATTTTGTTATGACCAATGTCATCATATGCATCTTTGCAGATTGTATTTTTATTACACCTGAATTCTTTCTTACTCATTCCCAGGAGTAGGGTTAAGGTATTAAGGATTAAATATTTCTATGATATTTCTCCAAAATAATTATACTTTGTTACAAAGCCACCAGCAGTATATGAATGTTCTTTAACCTCAAATAACATTGGGATACCTGTTTTTCTTTAGGTTTGATAGATCTGATATCCTATAGAAGTAAATCAGTGGTACTTCATCGTTTTTAGTTTATGTTTAAATAAGTAGAACGATATAGTGTCCTTCACTTTTTAAAAATCTTTGTTTTCTCTTTATAAGCCTTCTTTATTTACTTACTATTTTTTTTCTTTTGGCATATGTAGATAATGCGGCGTGAGAAAATCCAAAGAAACACAGTATGATCTCTTCCCAAAATCCATGGTAGCAGTTCTGGAGCATGTTCAGATGTTTTAAACTAAATTTTCTTTGCCAGCCGGCCTTAGAAGTTCTGTTTTTCTGATGCCGTTGAAGGATTTACCCTGTTTAATATGACCCAAAGAAATTTGGAGAGAGGAACTTTTTAAAAAAGAAAACAAATATAATTTTTTTGGTAACAATGTTAGAATAGCAGATAAAATCAGTGCTTTGCTTAATAAGGATGATAACCTTTTGATGATTTTCATGGAGATTATTTGTACAGATTTGCTTTTGTCCCTCCCCCATCTTTAAAACTTTTACTTTAAAAATTTTCAAACGTATAGTGCAAACCTTTTTAATCATTCTTGATTTTTTCTTTTAGTTTCTTGCAACCCAAAACAAAATATTAACTTAAAAAGGTGGCTTTTAAAATACAACTGTTGTTTGTCTTACCTTGCTGCAGATAACATATCAGGGAGGGATAATTACTCTGCTTGGCACTCAGTGTTGTACAGAAACCTCCTAGGTAGCTCTAGTCTCAGTATAGCTCAGAAGTGGGTGAGTTAGGGGACAAGATACAGAAGCTTTTAATTCAGCTCCTGAATTAAATCTTTGTAGAGTACACATTAAAATGCACTAAATATAAACATACTTTTTTGAGTAAAAGCCAAAGGGAGTCAGAATGGATTAATTTTCTGCCAAAGGAAGATTTCAGTAAACTTATACCACTTCCTTATATTAATGAATATAATTGAAAGTTCAGTTTATTCACTATGCTTTAATCTGTTGCTAAACTATGATTTGCTTTTAGTAATTCATTTAATTCAATTTGTTGGCACAGTGTATCGGTTGCTGCTTTTCCATTTGTTTGCAGTATATGGAGGCCATTTTCGCTTGTCTTTAAATGAAATGTCAAATATTTCTTCATGGAATTTTTCTCATTGCTAACTTTGTTCAGTTTAGAAATACAACTTTTCATTAAAAACTTGTCATTGAATCCATTTATCCACTTGGTTTAGAATTGTCTAAATGTTACTTTATCAGTTACTTCCCTTTCAATTGAGTGAGCCTTCTCAACACTAAACTTTTTGCTTATCTTTAAAAGTTTCAAATACTATGTTTTACTTGTTCTCTAAATTGGTTTCTTTTTCCCCCCAACATTTGCTTCTTTATACCTAACTGAACTCATGAATAATAATAATGATCCTGGAAAGAAAAGTGTATGCCAAAAAATTGAGTATATGAAGATCAAAATAATATTGTGAGTTAAAATGGCATATTGTTTGTAAGTAAAACTATCTGCTCTGGCCATATCACCATAAGTCAGTTGGAGATATTTTTACTTGTCATGAATTGCTAGGCAGAATTCCATAATCTTATCTTAGCCGATAAACTTTGTTTTGATTTTAGGCTGCTTTCTTTCTAAGAAGTCTTAAATAGTGATCAGTGTAGTAATTCATACCATTTGAAAGGCCTGTGGTCTAGAATGATATTGCAGTCCAAAGTGTTCCATTGTTTTCTGAGTAGTTTGGCATTCGTAGAACAAAAAGGATTATTTAGGCCCTTTATTCAAGTTTTCTGAAGACAAATTCTAAACAGAATTTGATAGAGGACTGCCTCTTTTATCATTATTCAGAGATTAGAAATAATATAGCTTCAAAGGAGATCTCTTTTAATAAGTAGCATCAGTAATATCTATTATTGCAGACTGCATGGTTGACTTTCTCAGCTTTAATAGCCTAATCGAAGAAACTGAAGTCTTGGCCAAATTGAAATCTTTAGCCAAACCTGTGTTTTAAATGTGCTTTTGGCTTTACCTTAAAAATAGTCTTTTGGAAAAACAATGATAGATCATTGACTAAACTAGTGGTCTTTTGAAAAATGTTGGTTTGTTGAATTCTGCATTTCCCTTCGTGTGCTTTTTTTCTTTTCTCCTGTCTCTTCTTATTCTGTAGATTCAGATCCAGGACATACAAGTGAAAATTGGGGGGAGAGACTTATATCTTCTTACAGGACATACTCAGGTAATTAGATTATCAGGGGCACCTGTTTAGCCAGTGGTTTCTGTCACATTTACAAGTAATTGTTGTACTATAAATAACTTCCTTTCAAACCAGTATATAGGTATCGTTGGTTGAATAAGTGAACTACATGAGTGACACAATTTTCCAGTTTTTGTTTGAGGTATCTACTGCATTATATCCAACACATGCTATTTATGAAATTATAAGCAGGACTACTATGTACTACCACTCAGTTGTTGCACAGCACAACATGGGGCCACCATTCACATAGAAAACAATATAAGAAATCAGTCAGCCCCTTGGAGTTGTGCAGTGCAGCAATTCCTATGAGAAGATACTCAAGGTCCTTGGTCTCTTTTGCTTTATATTCTTTACAGTGTATACCATGTGTACTGGTTTTGATAGACAGTAGACAGTATCATCTTACTATTTAATCATGCAGTGTTTTTAAAAAATTTTTTTAAATTTTTGGTTGAACTATATTTAGTCTATTGACTTTGCTGCCCTTGTTGAATTTAACAGTGGATTAATACAACAGCTTTCCAAGAGAAATGCCATTACCATTCACTGTGTTGGAACTGCTTTATTTGGCTATGGCACCAGCTGTTAGGGCTCATAATTGCTCCAGATAGAAGAATACAGGAGAATATATAAATACTATCTTATGTGAAAACTAATCAGTTAAGTGCTTTGATTAAACTTTTTTTTTTTAATGGGCTTACATTTTTATCTCTTAACTTTTTTGTAATACAAAATATTGTTTAGTCCCTGGGTATCCAAGTGTACAGTTTTCAGCATATGACATTTTGTTATAAAACCTGAAATCTTCCATTTCTGGTATATTTTGTATTTTATAAGTTTGTAAGGGTGGTGTAGAACCAAATATTAGTCTTAAAATTAAATGAGCTGATAAGTCAGTACTTAATTCTCAAAATTTGGGGGTAAAGGACATGTTTACAGTCAGCATTAAACTCCACTTACTGTGGAGTTGGGTGTACATTTCTAAAACAGGACTCCTCAGGGTCTGCGTGTACCTGAAGGAAGTATACGGGATGAAATTATCCACAATCTGAGTATTATTGCTGGAAATCAAGATACAAGCACCTACATTTTAGAAATTCATGTAGATGCTTTAGAACCAGAGAGCAATGGCAACATTTTTTTCTCAGACTTGAAGTAACTTTCCAAATGTGATTGATTAGTTCTATTAATCTGAATTTGAGTTACAGCTCCATTGCTCCATTCCTTCCACAGTGACTACTTTGTAGGGAAGTATCATATTCTTCAGCTTTTGAGAGGCTGGTAGGTTTATGAATCAGCTGGTAGGTTCTTTCCCCAAGAAAGAAATTTTGTTTCTTCTTCTTAATATACCCTACACTTAATTGGGTTGTGACTATGTTGAGCTTTTTGTTTATTCTGACAAGTCCTGAAAAGAAAGCATTCATTTTTTAGATTATAAAACTGAGATATTTCTATATTTCTAAAGATCTTCTGAACCCTGAAATAAAGAGTGTTAGATTGTGGATAATCCATTTCTCTGTTTTTCTTTAGTCTTAAGTAAATCGCTTGGATTTTTCTTTAACAGTCTCCAGAGTGGCTGAATGGAAATTCAATTCTATAAGAGACTGTGCTACATGAGCATGTGTCAGTATTCCTCTATTTAAAATTCTGGACCATTTTTTGGACAAATAAATACATAGTTCAGTTGTCAAACTTGAGAAGTACCTAACTTTCTCAAATCTATGTGATCATTTTTTACTTATGACCAGTCAGGAAACAAGTTCTTCACAGTATAGATCCCAAATAGTCAAAAGTTTTGTTGAATGCTTTACACTTGAAAAAGCACATTTTGGGACATATTAATCTAACACAGCTTTGAAGAATGGTATCTATCTAGCTATCTTACACCAGCATCTGTTTATTTATCTTCTTTTCCTGTCTTATGTAAAGCATGAACTCAGACAAATGACTAAGGTAAACTGAAAGAAAAATAGAGTTCAGATTGGATGCTAGTATCTAATTTGAATTTTTGCTTGAATATTTGGAATATGTACAGTTTTATTCTTTTCCAAGATACATAATCGTGTCTTTGATCATTTGGCAGTCAGAATTCTAAAATGAATTTATAAGTGTCTCACTTTGTTCTGTAAATTGAGTATGTATCACTTTAGAGCATATTCTTTTTAAAACATTGCATGAAATGCAATGAGAAGCAGAAAATTCATTGTTTTGCAAGTGAGGAAATATGAAAATTTCCCCAAAATTTTAGAAGATATTTTAAGAAAAGATTCTCTGTACATTTTCATCACTTTGTTTCCTCCAATTACTAGATTTCACTTCTTTTTTAAAAACTTTTCTCCTTTTTATAAAAATTTTTAGTGTTAAATATTTTAATTCTAGAAAAGAAGTACATTTGTTATATTTAAAGATTTGTTATTTAGGTTGAAATCATTGAAACAACAATTATGGTTCCTCATTAAATATGAAAGAACCAAAGCACACAGTATTATTAGAAGAAACTACATGTTTCAGAAAAAAAATGAGCTTCTCTTAAAATCCTGTTAAGGGCTTTATAATAAATTTAGTAAGTTAGATGAAACACTGTGCTGAACCTAGATTTATATTAAAGTGGACCATTAATGATAATAAAATGAGAACTAGGAAAATAAAACAGTATTTATAACTATTAATAAAGGCTGACTTAAGTAAATCAAGTTTTTCAATTTTGTTATGTAAAAATTAAATATCAACACATGGACATTTTATTTTAGGAGCTATTGAATTTTCAGTAATTTGTGGACAGCAGAGTTAAATGTTCTGATCTCTTAATTTTTCTAGGCCATTAGGATGCCATCCATTGTATCATAATTAAATAAGTGGTTCACTGCAAGAATTACTTTGTTCTTATGCCTTAAATGATTATATATTTAATAATATTTAAGTAATCTCAAACTAGTTTCTTGAAACTTGCTAGATTAGTAAATGCTTATCACTTAGAGGAGTCCATATGCTGGCCACATCTGCCTAGAGTAAAAAATGCAATATTTACTACTAAACCTTCCCTCCTTCCATTTTCGCTATGTTCTACATTTATTTTTAAAACTTACTTATTTATCTTTGTTAGTCCATCTTTACAGGGACTGTCAAGCCCAGATCAGTAATTCTCAGATAATTTGTATAGGATTTCCCAAGAAATAAGATGCCTAGACAGTTAACAAGCAGACATTAACTCACACCTGAATTATCTCCCAGAGGAATCCTAGAACAGCTATCTGTATCTCTCTGACTTACAGAATCCAGTTCCATCTGAAGTTCCTGGCACTTGACGACGACTGCTGGCTGCATTGCCAAAGGATTTCCCAAGTAGCTCAACCTGAGAGCTGGCTTTATGATGGATCAAATCTCTTTCAGAAAATCCTTAGACATTTTGGATCTTTGCAGAATCTCTGTTAACCACCCCCACATACCCACACACATGCAGAATCTTTAATTTGCTCATTTTTAGCTTTTATTAGGATCATTCCATGTTCAGCTATCCTGTGTCTGGGATAAAGTGATCTGATGCTTCTTTTCAATAATTACTTTGTGTGATGAGACTTGTTTTAAATACTTACCTCGTTAGAAGATTGTACAAATCATCAGTGGAATTACGGAAATAATATGAAGGAACATTGCTAATAAAGACAGCAGTAATTAAGAAGAATAAAACTATAATGAATGAAGAAAAGCTTCAAAGATGTGATACTAAGGAATGTTTGAAGTGTTACTGAGGAAGTTAAATTTTAAAAGAACAAATCATTAAAATACAGATGATATGAGGAATAAATATGCAAATATTCTTAATTTTCAGAAAACAGTAGAATTAATATATTTTTTCAAAGCATTCAGGAAGGAAATTGCTTATATAATACAATAAAAGTCTAGTGTTCTTTTTTGTCAGCCTGTTGCTAGTTTTATGTTTCTCATACACATGTATAGCATCTGTTTTTTTAAAGTTTTCTTATGTTTTGCTTTACAGTGCTTCTATTAAAATTCTTACATATTTATTAATAATTCCAGAGAAAGAAGGTCCAGAAAAGAAGAAAACAAAAAAGGAAGCTGGAAATAAGAAGTCCACACCAGTTAGCATTCTTTTTGGTTATCCACTCTCTGAGCGGAAGCAGATGGCACTCCTTATGCAGATGACAGCAAGAGACAACAGTCCAGGTGACACCATCATTGAGTACATGTGTATTCTTAGTTTGCCTGAGTCTACCCTTGTCTTAACAATTACTTTAAGTTTTTATTTTTACTTGGATTTAATAAAAATTTCTTAAAAGTTTGGGCTTACCTGGGTGGCTTAGTTGGCTAAGTGTCCAACTCCAACTCGGGCCATGAGCTCACGGTTTTATGAGTTTGAGATCCGCATAGAGGTCTGTCCTGACGTCTCAGAGCCTGGAGCCTGCTTGGATTCTATGTCTCCCTCTCTGCCTGCCGCCCCCCCCCACATGCACACACACTCGCTCTCTCAAAAATATTTTTAAAAATTTAAAAATTTCTTATAAGTGTAATTTTACATTTATTTGGGTGATGATTGTTTATTGTCTGTATCGTCCACCAGATGAGAATCTCCACAGGAGCAGGGATCTTCGCACTTAGTGGATATTAGTAAATATTTGTCAACTAAAATGTGTAATTTAGAAATGGTCATTCATAACAAAAGAAAAGAAATGGTCAGTTAACTTGAAGTCCATTGCTGCACTGGTGTGCTTTCACCTTACTGAAGCATTTTTTAACCCTAGTTTCTATAAAACTGCTTCTGGATTTATAGTTATAATGTAATCCATGCTTTATTGCTTAAGATCTAAATTATTTTAAAAGGAAAAATATTTGTGATATGCTGTGTAAATTTATTTTGTATTTCATTTCACGGCATCTTTATATAAGATTTTGGGTGACTTAACAGACCCTGTTGAAATGCACTAAAAGTTTTCTCTCTGTAAGTTTTTCTGTATTGGCTTTTTTAAAAAACTATGACAACATGGTAAAATTTTTAATTTCTATGTATTGTAGTTTCCATCAAATCATTGGTATATCTAGTCTTTCACTAATGAACACGTTAGGGCTTCTTGCTTTTTTTAAGTAGAGTGTGCTGTTTATGGTTATTCTCCTACCTTTTCATACCCAATTTTTGAAAGACTGTAGCCAAATTAAAGATCCTATACATTGTTAAAACTTTAAATGTTTCGTAAAATGTTAGCCTTGTGTCAGATTTAATAATTAGATGTATTTTTTAAATCTCACTTTGTTATACCATGAATTTTTTTTTTAATGTTTTATTTATTTCTGAGAGAGAGAGAGAGACAGAGTGAGCAGGGGAGGGCCAGAGAGAGAGGGTGACACAGAATCTGAAGCAGGCTCCAGGCTCTGAGCTGGCTGTCAGCACAGAGCCCAACACGGGGCTCGAACCCACTAACCGTGAGATCATGACCTGAGCCGAAGTCGGACACTCAACCAACTGAGCCACCCAGGTGCCCCTATACCATGAATTTCTATCCTTAGAGTAAATTAGAAGGCAGAAAGTTAATCTTGCCACGTCTCCAGTGTTCCTTCCAGAAGTTTTCTAGGTATAAACATACAGTTGCATATGTTTCGTTGTAGGGTTTTGTTTTGTTTGTTTTGTTTTGTGTTTTTTAAAGCAAATTCTGTCCCTGACATGGGGCTTGAAATTCACAACCCCGAGATCAAGAGGCACATGCTCCACTGCCTGAGCTAGCGAGCCTCCCTATGTAATTTGTGTTTTAAAATTTAAATAAGGTCATATTATAATGCAGTTGATTCTTTTCATATAAGGATTTTTAGTCAACCTTATTAATATACGTGGAACTAGAGTGGACAACTTTTGAAATATGAAGCTGTTTGCCAACATAAAAGCATACTTGTAGCTTAAGATTCATTATTTTATCCGTTACATAATTAATTTCCCCTTTTATGTTATGTTTACTCTGGTTGCCATTATGGATAATGCTATTTTTATTTTATGTATGTGAATATTATTTTGAAATGGGTAACAAAATTTTCTTTGAATTAATTCCTTGCAAGTTGCTTGGATAAAGAATATGTCCTTTCATTTTTAAGAAACTGAACAGCTAATTTTCTTAATAAATAATTTGACTATGAAGATTATAGTAAAATTCATTTATTCATTCAGCAAATATTGCATGAGTACCACCGTGTGCCAAGAAGTCTAAATAGTTGAGATACAGTAACGAATGAGATAGTAACACAGACAGTGTCCTTCAAAGAAATGGAAAAACATTCCATGCCTATGGGTCAGAAGAATAAATATAGTTAAAATGTCATTACTACCCAAAGCAATCTACACATTCAATGCAATCCCAATCAAAATTACACCAGCATACTTCTCAAAACTAGAACAAACTATCCTAAAATTTGTATGGAACCACAAAAGACCCCGAATAGCCAAAGTAATATTGAAGAAGAAAACCAAAACGGGAGGTATCATCATCCCAGACTTTAGCCTCTACTACAAAGCTGTCATCATTGAGACAAGTATGGTATTGGCACAAAAACAGACACATAGACCAATGGAATAAAATTGAGAACTCAGAAATAGACCCAAAAGTATACAGCCAACTAATCTTTGACAAAGCAGGAAAGAATACCCAGTGGAAAAAAGACAGCCTCTTTCACAGATGGTGTTGGGAGAACTGGACAGCAACATGCAGAAGAATGAAACTAGATCATTTTCTCACACCATACACAAAAATAAACTCAACATGGATAAAGGACCTGAAAGTGAGACAGGAAACAATCAAAACCCTAGAGGAGAAAGCAGGAAACAACCTCCTTGACCTCCACCACAGCAAATTCTTACTTGACACATCCCCAAAAGCAAGGGAATCAAGAGCAAAAATAAACTATTGGGACTGTATCAAGATTAAAAGCTTCTGCACGGCAAAGGAAACAGTCAATAAAACTAGTAAGCAACTGACAGAATGGGAAAAGATAGTTGTAAATGACATATCAGATAAAGGGTTAATATCCAGAATCTATAAGGAACTCCCCAGACTCCACACCCAAAAAACAAACAACCCAGTGAAGAAATGGGCAGAAGATTTGAACAGACACTTCTCCAAAGAGGACATCCAGATGGCCAACAGACACATGAAACAATGCTCAGCATCACTTATCAGGGAAATACAAATCAAAACCACACTGAGATAATCACCTCACGCCAGTCAGAGTGGCTAAAATGAGCAAATCAGAGAACTCTAGATGCTGGCGAGCACATGGAGAAATGGGCACCCTCCTACACTGTTGGTGGGAATGTAAACTGGTGCAGACCCTCTGGAAAACAGTGTGGAGGTTCCTCAAAAAATTAACAATAGAACTCCCCTATGACCCAACAGTAGCACTGCTAGGAATTTACCCAAGGGATATAGGAATGCTGATGCATAGGGGCACATGTACCCCAATGTTTATAGCAGCACTCTCAACAATAGCCAAAACATGGAAAGAGCTTAAGTGTCCATCAACGGACGAATGGATCAAGAAGATGTGGTTTATCTATACCATGGAATACTACATGGCAACGAGAAAGAATGAAATCTGGCCATGTGTAGCAACATGGATGGACCTTGAGGGTGTTATGCTGAGCGAAATAAGTCAGGCAGAGAAGGACAAATATCATATGTTTGCACGTATAGGAGGATTAGGAGGAACTTGACGGAGGACCATGGGGGAGAAGAAGGGGGGAAATGGGGGAAAGGGAGAGAGGCAAACCATGAGAGACTCTTGAATGCTGAGAACAAACAGGATTGAAGGGAGAGGGGAGGGAGGGGGGGATGGGCATGGAGGAGGGCACTTGTGGGGATGAGCACTGGGTGTTACATGGAAACCAACTTGACAATAAACTATTTGTAAAAAAATTAAAAAATAATTAAAAAAAAGGTGAGATAACATCATCCAACTGGAATTGGATAAAGTTGGTAGAAATTATGACTAGACTGTAGACCTGGGGCCTAAAGTTATTCTGACCACGGCTAAATAAAAACATTAAAAATTGAAATTAGCATTCAAAAAAAAAGGAGAGAGACAGTGTCCTTGCTCTTAATGAAGTGTACTTACAGAAGTCCAGGTAAGAGACTGTTACTGACACAATGCACTTTAAAATCCAAAATGTAAATTTTAAGCTTTTTTCTTATTAGGGAAAGAACAGTGGTACTTTAGTGCTCTAATTATGTCAGTTTGCAAGAAAATTATTATATGGCACTAGAAAATTATTATCCATAAACTTTCCTCTTAGAACATTTGTTTCTTTTAAATAGTTGTAAATTTTCAGAATTAATTATTAACACTGTACATATGTCTAGAATCCTTCACTGATTAAGAAACCTATTTTAAGTTTTGTCTTTGTCCCAGTAGTTCTGAAATGGGGACAAGAGGGAGAACTTTGGGTATCGTCTTGTTTAACATTCTTGTTTTTAGTATACAGACTGGAACAAAAATCAAAAGATGAGAAGCAAAGCAAAGCAAAATTTTTTCTCTTTTATTAGCCCACTCTTTAAAGGCCTTCCCAGAGTCCTTATTGCTTGAAGCTCTTAAGCTTTATTTTAATGCTAACATCACTCATGACCTCAGTTTGCACTTAATATCCAAATAGAAGAACTCTAATACTTTGAGTTACAGTGTGAACTCTAGCCTTCAATGTCATTTAGGTGTTAGGTGTTAGAATAAGAGTAACATTCCGTGAAAAATACATATTTTTGTGATTTATCAAATTATTTAGCAAACATTTTTAGAGTACATATTTGATACTTTGTTATTAATTTAAGGCATTTTTATGAATTGAGAGAATAAAAATTTTTTTCTAAATTTGCTCATGCAATATTTGATAAATAACCCTAAAGGAAGATGATCTCAATGTATTTTGGGTTAAATTCTTAATATATCATCCAAGCCAAATTTGGGTTGTTAGGGTGAGAAGATATTCCCCCATTCCAGGAAATTGTACATTACAAACCTTTCCATGAACATACAAAATGTTCAGTCTAGAACTTTCATTAACTACTTTTTTCTTACAGATTCCACACCAAATCATCCATCACAAGCAACACCAGCCCAGAAGAAAACTCCCAGTTCCTCATCTCGACAGAAAGACAAAGTTAATAAGAGAAATGAACGTGGTGAAACTCCTTTACACATGGCAGCTATTCGAGGAGATGTGAAACAAGTCAAAGAATTAATAAGTTTAGGGGCAAATGTGAATGTGAAAGATTTTGCAGGTAAGACTAGTAATTAAAAACTAATGCTCAGGACCTCATTGAAACAGATTCTGGTAACAATTTAATCTGTATTCTGTATTCCTCTTGCTTAAAACAAGAGTTCTAAAAGTGTAATGTATTACAAAATTCTTCTGGAGTGTGCACACAAACCCTGATGATGCTCTGCTACAGTTCTGTGTTAAGAACTATTCAAGTTTTTAAATATTAAATGTGTATTTTAGTTGATACATTACCACAAAATTCTTTAGGTTCTATTCTAGATAAATTAGAGTTACATAAGGTTTTCAGAGTGTTAATTCTTTCATAAGTCTTTCAAAAGCATTTATTAACTTGAACATGAGAACTCTAAGAGAGCACTGGTGGTGTTTCATTTTAATTACTCAATTACCATAACAGTACATTCTTACTGTAAAGATTTCAAAAAGTAAAAGCATGCAGAGAGATTCCCATACTTTATATACTACAATACAGATTCTTTCTTTGCCAGGATTTGAAGGTTTTCCTTTCTGTATGTTTTTATTAACATCTGTATAAAATGAACATTTATTTATATATAGGCTTTTTAAAAAATTAAATCATCCCATCTATATTTATTGGTCTGTAGTTCTACAGCATACCTTTTTTTACCTACTGTCTTAACAGATTTTTCTGCCAGTCCATATAGTTGGTTCTGTTTTATTCATTTCAACAGCTGCATTAGTATTGCATAGTATAGACTCCATGGACAATACTTTAGTGAACACTCCTGTAGAAATGACTTCATGTATAGTTATAGAAGAATTTCAGAATTGAAACTGTTAAAGTGGTTACATATGCAAATGGCCATCCAAAAAAATCTTTTTTCAGTTTACACTACCATCAAGAGTATGTAGAAGAGCACTTTTCTTCACATCTTCACTAAAGCTGGATATTATCAATTTAATTACTAACAATCTGACAAATGGAAAAAATGGCCAGATCTGGCCTTTTGCCCATTTGTCCAATGGTGGCAATATGATTAATATGTAAGAGCCTTTTGTCTTAGTATAGGTTTTACTTCTCTGTCAGATAATGTAAAAGTCGTCACTGTGTGTTTGAATTTTTATTTCAGTGTTTATTGTACTTAGAGTTTTCATTTTTTATGTAACTGTATCAGTTTATCTTTTTATTTATGAGTTCTTTGTTGTTTTTTAATAAGGACTTCTCTGCTCCTATACACCCCTCTGTTTTCTCATTCCTATATTTTGTTTTTGTTCTGCTTTTACATATAGCCCTGTTAGAATACATGTGGAATTTATTTCTCTGTTCGGTGTGAGTGGGGAAGAGCGCAATGTACAGGGTCTCCTTTAAAGAATGAGACATAAAATGCATAGCATCCGTTCTAGGAGAAAACTTGAAACCAAAAAAATACTTTGATCTAACAATTCCACTCCTAAAGATTTATCTTAAATAGTTAGATATGGATATGCATGAAAATTTAGTTATAAGAATATTTGTTATGGCATTGTTTTTAGTATTTTAAAAATAAGGGGCCATCTGGTTGTCTCAGTCGGTTAAGCATCTGACTTCAGCTCAAGTCATGATCTCTCAGTTGGTGAATTCAAGCACTGCATCAGACTTCTGACAGTTCAGAGCCTGGAGCCTGCTTCGGATTCTTCGTCTATCTCTCTGTACCTCCCCTACCTGTGCTATGTCTCTCTCTCTTCCCCCTCCCTCCCCCCTCTCTCCCCCTCACCCCCCTCTCTGCCCCTCCCCTCAAAAATAAATGTTAGGGGTGCCTGAGTGGCTCAGTTGGTTAAGCATCCAACTTCAGCTCAGGTCATGATCTCATAGTTCTTGAGTTCAAGCAGTGCATCACGCTCTGTGCTGATAGCTCAGAGCCTGGACCCTGCTTCAGATTCTGCGTCTCTCTCTCTCTCTCTCTCTCTCTCTCTCTCTCTCTGACCCTCCCTGCTCATGCTGTCTCTCTCTCTCTCAGAAATTAGAAAAAAAAAAAAAAAAGTATAAGATTCTCTCTCTCCCTCTGTCCCTCTCCCCTGCTCACGCTCTTTCTCTCTAAAATAAAAAAAAAAAGAAGGACACCTGGGTAGCTCGATTGAGTGTCTGACTCTTGATTTCAGCTCAGGTCATGGGTCTTGTAATTCATGGGATTGAGCCCCAAGTCAAGCTCTGTGCTGCTTAGGATTGTCTTTCTCCCTCTCTCTCTACCCCTCCCTGCTCATGCTGCTCGCTGTTCCTCTCTGAAAATGAACTTAAAAAAAATAATAGTAAAATAAAAGAAAAAGAAAAAATTACGGATCTAAGAGGAGAGAGGCTAGAATTAGGCTACATTCTTCATATGGTGGTAGAATTATGAGTGATGTTTATTTTCTTTGTTGCATTTTTTGTTATTTTTCTTTCACAAACACAACTTTTTTAGCCACCAAAATTATTGCAGTGATAAATTTTAGTTAAAGTAAGTATTAAGTCTAGAAAAGATGAAAACTCTTCAGAGAGGTTTTTGTTTGCTGAAATCCCCTAACAAGCTTGTTAATTTTTTCCCTTTTCCTATTCTTTTATCCATAGTTCAGATGATTATTATAAAATAGAGCAAGTTTATATTTATTGGATAAGCTTAAAAGTTTAATATTTTGGTAAAATTATCCCCAGTGGAAATAATATTAACATAAATAAACCTTCTATAAAATTGGTGATGTTCTTAGGTGTTTATTTCCAGTAGCTTGTTCATCATTCCTGTTTCCTTCTGTACAATGTGCATTAGAATTCATATGTCTCACACATCTATATAAAAAGCATATTTTTTTAATTAGTATAAATTAACCGTATGTTAAATTAATATGCTAACTTTAGGTTGGACACCATTGCATGAAGCTTGCAACGTTGGATATTATGATGTTGCTAAGATACTTATAGCAGCTGGAGCAGATGTTAACACACAAGGATTAGATGATGACACTCCACTCCATGATTCTGCTAGTAGTGGGCACAGAGATGTAAGTATGATAGAAAAATCAATATACATTTTCAAAATACTCAACCCAGAGTAATTTAGTTCACTTCTTAGTCCTACCATCTCATGTCATATTTCACTAGTTGCTTGTTGGTCAGCTCATCTATATTTTATTTTCCCTTTTTTCTGCCTTCTAATTGCTAATTCATATTGTAGTCAGATTTAGTGTTTTATCTAAAACAAAATTTATTGAACTTGATAGTTAATTAAACAGGTTGGCAAAATTGTATTGCAAGACCATTCTGCTGTCAGATAACTAGATGTAGCAGTTAACAAAAGTTTTACTTCTAGTTAAAATTTTACCATGTCACCCTGCCTATCTATTTTTTCCAGACATATTAATATTGAATGATCTCTTTCTCTACAACCTTCATTCCTGAATGTTAGCTGATATTATCTATTTAACATATTCAGATGGCTTTTATGTATAGTAATAAAAACATAATCAAACATGATTATACGTGCTTACAAATTAATGGCATCTTTGAACATCATGTTTAATTTGATGTAATTTTATGAACCATTGTAGGTTTTAAATCCATTTGCATTTTCAATCTTTGTTATGCTGATATCAAAGCTTAAACCTATTTCTGTTGTAATGAATCTCATGTTTTAAGTGTCTTTAAGTGCTTAATTGTATTGTGGTAATCTGCTTCCAGTAAAACAGATCAATCTGGGCCACTATTAGGGTTGGTTCAAAAGCAGGATTTTGTGTTTCAAAGTAAAAACTATGTAAAGAGAAAACCTATTAAAGAATATTTGGATATAGTTTAGAAAGTGAAAAGTACCTTTTAGCTTCTAAAGATAACTGCAGGCTCCCTCCCCTTCCTCTCTACTTCTTAGTATTTTTATTTTATTTTTTTAATGTTTGTTTATTTTTGAGAGAGAGAGAGAGAGAGACGGGGAAGGGCAGAGAGAGGCAGGGAAGAGAATCCCAAGCAGGCTCCACACGGTCATTACAGAGCCTGACTCAGGGCTCGATCTCACAAACTATGAGATGGAGATCATGCTCTGAGCTGAAATTAAGAGTGGGCCACTTAACTGACTGAACCAACTAGGCACCTTGGCAGAAGCGACTAACAGGTGTTTCTTCTGTATTCTAGCAAAATGAAGCTGTCTTGCTTTTTAATTTTTAGTTTTTATTTATTGACCTCCTTAGAGGATTTTATTATTGTTCAGATATTCACAGAATCTATATTGTATAGTTTTTACTAGTCTTTATGGTACTGTCTATAATTGTATTTTCTTTTTGGATTTTTCTGTTTCATTATCTGGGTTAATATATTGCCTTTTCTTTTTTTGTTAATTTAGCTTTTTATGCACCTATATTTGTTCTTCTCTATACTCTCTGATACAACTCATTTAGCCTCTAAATAAGGTAAAGTACATTGATCAGTTTACTACTTTTGAGAAACACCTGTGGAATTTTTCACATCCCTTTATATAAGATATCTTGTATCCTGATCTCTTTGGAACTAGTTGCTCTCTAGATCTGAGGCATAGATGCTGTCCTGGAAATTCACTTAACCGTTAATCCCATGTGGGATTTTCAGTCTTTCTATTAGATTTCCAGTTTCTGGGTGCCCATCTTAACTTTCATTAATTAAGTGGTTTGTTCTGCTTCCTGCATGGTCATGGATTTCCCCAAGATCCTTTATTGCTCTGATGTGTATTTCTCACATTAGAGATCTTCTGTTAACTTTTGTTCATTCATATTTGACTGAAGCTCTAAAAAGCCTGGTCGACAAGATGTGTAATGTACAGAGTTTGTTGGCTGGTGGGCTTTTCTGTAGTTTGTCTGGTGGACAAGATGGCTGTTTTGTCAGAAGTCTCCTAAATGTCAGTATTTATAGGTTCTTCTCTTGGGATAGATAGTTTCTCCAGAAGGCAATATTCTACTTTCCTGTCTGGATGATATAAGAGTGTTTTTCTAGCTTTCTAGAAGCCAAATAGAGGAGGAGTTTTTGTTCGACAGTCGTAAGAGGATACTGTGAACTCATTCTGTGTTAGAGAAACTTACATTTAATCCTCCTGACTTAAAGTAAGATACCATTAAACTGTCTTCCACTGTGCTATCTAAACCCAGAATCTTACTCTTATTTTGAGAAGAACTTCCCTTCTTCAGGGATGGAAAAGGTGCATTCACCTGAAGACTTGAGAACAGAAATGCTATCATTATAATTAGTACTTCCCTGATACCTACCTCTCAAAGGCCTGAAAGTTTGAACAGTGACCACCATATGCCAGGGCTCTCAGTACTGCATCTCATGGCAGCCAGCATGTAATTTAGTTCAAAAATCCTGTTTTAAAGTTTGCTTCATAGGACTGCTCTCACCTATACATAGGTTGAGTGCCCTGGGATTCTGAGACATAAATTTGGAGGTTCTTAATAGGAGAAAAGAGGGATGTGATCTCAGGAGCAACACCTGTTAGGATATGACAGCAGCAGGATAAAATAAAAGGAGAAGCTGAACTGCAATGCAGCTGCAACAAAAGCTTCAGCCATCGTCACAGGGAGTCCTTGATATGAGGATGCACTTCTGAGTTTGCTCTGATTTGAGGTAAGGGCTAGGTCTGTGTGCCCATGCATGGATCAGTTAATGAATACAAGCTGCTGATGGCAAGGCGACATACCCCTTAAGTGGTGCCACTCCCAGCATTTGGGGCTATAAGCATCTTGGTCTAGAAGAGGGTATCTGAGCAGTGCAAAACATCCCCTATAATCCTCAGACGGAAGCTCCTGCCCAGCACTGCTACCTAGCACTGTTGATGCATTTGCAGCAGCCTCTCCACTCCAATCCACAGTACAGGTGTGGCTCAGGGAAACAACATTTGCTACCACTAGTGAACCTGCAGATCTGTTTCCATGACTGCCCTCCCTCCTTGCTTACCAGCAGCAAATCCAGTCAACCATTCACTGTCCGGTTTCTCCGGACAAGAGTCGAACACTGGCCTGTGTAACCTTCAAACTCTAGACACTTGGGTAAAACCTTCTTTTCATGGTGACCTAATCTCAAGTGAACCGATAAAGTCAGGAAATTCTCTTTTAAAAAATGTTCTCATACATTGTTTTCCTATTGATTAGCCCAATGATAGTGATTGAAGAAGAAAAGGAAAGGATTTGGTTATCTTTCAACAAGTCTAGGATTATACTGAGCATTTCTTTTCAAGCTGGATGAACACTTAGTCTTCATTACCATCATGTTTAATACCTCCTTATACTCTGAATTCCATGAAGTCAGCAGTTTCTTCTGCTTGAAACTGTGCCATAAGTAACATTTTCTTTGAGGAATGTTTGAACAGTGTGCATGTAAGTGGCACCATTTCATTGCAAATGAAGATGTAATTGCTTATTGATCTAAAAAACATTTGGAACTACTGAAAATTTTCATATTAAGGAAGAGTAGGTAATGGAGTGTCACATAAATTATTTATCTGAGGTTCTTGTAACTTTGCATTTTCAGGTAGTTGCATTTATTTGTCTTCGTTGACTCAGTAGGCTTCAGTGAATATTTCCTAAAGTCAAATAATAGGAAAAATCAACTTGGTGACAAAAATGGAAATTAGATTTTACAGTAAGAAAAGTCCTCAGTATTCACATGATAAAATGACTGGAGAATGAAGCTAAATATGAATTGAATAACTTGTCTGTTTTGATTTTTTATTTTGTGTTATTTTGTGAGCTACATTACGTTAACTTCTTATGAGTAGTTGTATTTTCACTATGGGACAAAAAGTGTTCTAAATGCTTTATATGCATTGGTTCTTTTAATCTTCACAGAAGCAAACAAGCTTCTGGTGTGTCTTGTTAAGACTGTACCCGGTTATATTTCAATACCCAGCCTCTCCATGAGATGTGACAGGGCATTAACATAGGAACTCCTGCTCTCCCAAGACACTCCCAAGTTTATTAAATTGATAGGCCTCCAAATTAAGGAACCAAAAAATAGAAATCTCCATGTTTTTCTAAGACAAAAAATGATATGATGATTCAGTGATCTGGGAGAGTTGTTATTTAATGAGTCTCCACTATAATGAGAAAGATAGGACATGCTTTGTAATGGCCTAGATTGCATTTCGATATCCTGCATTTTGATATTTCTGCTAGAAAATCCCCTTTTTTCTCTCTTTAGCAGCAAACATTCTCTGCCCTGTTTTCTTCTTGACATGCAGTAAAAATTTCAGTGTCAAGCTGCCTGTCTTAAAAGGCAAATTTTACTCTAGTTGAAGAAAAAAATGGAATTTGGAAGATAGATATGAATTCAGTTGTGGCTTAGCCAATTTACTAACTATGTGATTTTGAACAAGTTGCTTTTTTCCTCTGAATCTCCATTTCCTCATCTTTAAATTATATAACAATACCTATCGAAGGGAATATTTTGAAGGAAAAAAGACACTATGCATGTAAACACACCTTGAAATCTAAAATGGTATAGAAATGTCAGAGGTAAAAGTTTCAAAAGCTACCTTTATATTACTATTTTTCAAATATACTCAAATATTTAGAAACCAAAATTTGGAAATTAAAAATGCTATTTTTCTCATTTACTTTTTTTCTCTAAGGTATTTTTTATGATTCTCAAAGAAGTTCTAATTTTGAAGAAAAATGCAGTCTGTAAATGCTGTTTTTCCTGAACTCGTTTTTGTTTACCATTGGACCAGTCTTTTCTACTCCTTTGGCAATTTGTATATGCCTGTGTGATAGCACTTCCAGCTCTTGCTTTTACTGATATACTGTGTGTTTCCTGCAGTGCACTGTGAGAGCATGCATCTAGGCTTTTTGTATGGATTTGTTTTAGTGGGACACTAAACACTGGAACTTCCTGTTACATAAGACTTAACACATAACACTAAATTCTGCATGCATGCATGTGTAGGTACATGAGTGGATGGATGAGTACATAACTGGCCAAGGATAAAGCGGAATGCAAAAGACTTTATTTAAGGCCTGATAATATATAGGGTACACTTCTTTCCCACTGC